AACAATCGGAAGAGAACAACCAATCACAAACCAGTTGGTCAGAGAAAGCTATTAAATCACTCATGGAGAGATATTGACAGCTCACTTCATGCTGAAGTTAGTGGTGAGGATGATGTTATCAATGAAGACGACGAAAGTTACACGACTAATCAATCTAACTCAGAGAAAACAATACAACCAAGTTCATCTACCTTAACTACAAATATTCTTCACTTTCAATAGAATGATAGTTACAATGAAAGTGACAGAATTGCATATTTCAACTAAAAATCAAACTACTTATAAGGAATTTAAGTACCCTGCAGACAACTGGAATAAAAAACTTTCACAATATATACAAAATGCAAAACTGATTCAGAATGTGTGGATTTCGTTCTTATCCTGGAAGAACCTTGACATATTCAAGGTTATATCAATGAATAAGATAGTGTCCTTGAAGTGAAATGCTCAGCATAGCATACAATAAAGTATGAAAGTGGTTTTGAAATGGGAAATATTTATAACGTACAAGTAGAAGTTAATGCTTTGGATATCATTAAACCTGATAATGAAACATTCACGATAAAAATGTTAGCTCGAAAAACAACAAATCTGCAGCTGAGTGGGGGTTTCTAAACAGATGACATTAAAAATTGTTATTACTACTGAGATTGTTAGTCATAAATTTGTAGAATATATTCGTTGGAATGGATTATTACTCCAATTAATTTTTTACTTGTACTGTTCTCTCCCAGGATTTGTATAGTGTCTGTTAGTATGATCATCGCTCTCATTATGCATCGATATAAGCTAAGGTACTGTTGAATAATGTTACATACTGAACAGCTGCTTTTATCTAGTAGAAAATTATTCAGAAGTAACTATCCACAACCACATCCACAAATTTAAAATTAGGGTTTATTGTATACAGAAATTACTTTGAACATTTCTTTGCCACTTGAGTGATCCATCCTGTCATTCACATACTTTTGAAACGTTTTTATCTTTGGCTGAAATGAGAAACTCTTTTAGTAAATAGAGTGAAGTGTCTTATAAGATTCTGAGAGAGATTTATTTCATGTGACTTAGATGGTTATGACCACCACTAGACATATTCATCACGAACTGACGACAGTTAGAGAACTATTCGAAACTTATTAGTACTGGGTAGATGGATCATACTAGTATTGGGCCCCTCATCAGCGCGAACCCATCACCCTGACAGAGATCGGACCCGGAACTTTCAGGCTATGAGAAAACAGGTAACCAATGAACCGCCTCTGGGTCGAAATCCACTTAACTTGAAGTCAAAAAACATCAAATCCAATTACTGTCCACTGCTAAATATTGACTTCCTTCGAGATGAAATTTCCTGAGGGTTAAGTGAAAAATTGTGAATGGTGGGGTAAAACAAGTCGAAATGAAAGACGGGTACTCAAAAACGGCATTGGAGGATGGTCGCAATTTATCGGGAACTGAAAAAGTAGGAAAATGTTAACCACAGTATCTTTACATAGTGACTCAGTGGCAACGTACTTATCCAGAAAAATGAATGTCCTTGGTTCGAGCCTTGTGGGGTTCGTGAGTACACACCGCTGGGGAGCTCCATTCTAGGACGAAACAGATGTCTGAGGCTCCTACGTTTTAGCGGTTCTGCAACTGATATCAGTGAGTGATAAATGTTACCTTGGATTCAATAAGAACTTCAATTTCCACATTGGACGCGTTAACCGTTCAGTCGCTGCATCGAAATTCAGTGGTTCATTGTTTCCTACTTCTGTCAGTTCCCGATATAGTGCCACTATCATCCACAGTCTTCACTTGGTATCCGCTTCCCTTTCGAGTAGTTGACATGCTTTTAGATGAAAATTCTAAATAGTCTTAATGAAAAACTGCAACCACTGTGGTCAACTAGTCAAAAGTGAAGCAGATGTTAGCTGAAGACGTTGGATGATGGTTGGGGTTTATCACGAATTGACAGAAGTTGGAAACTGAATGGTCGACGCGTTCGCCGTGAGACTTAAAGATCCTGAGTTCAATCTCTGGCAAGGCCGGGTCGTGGGTGAGCACCACTGAGTAGTCCCATACGAGGACAAAACAGCTGCCCAGTATTCCCAGATTTTCATTCTTTCTTACGATTATTTCAGTCCGTGCGAATACAACCTTAAGAATAAATCTCCATAAACCTCAAACTACAATAGAAATATAAGAGTTTTTCGTATAGTCGTGAATTCAGTTATCGTATAATATCTATTTCATGTATTTTTGATTGGTCTCAGAACCTTAGTAGAAATGACTAACATGATTTCTTCATCTCAGATAATCTAATCAAGTCCGAAAGTTTGCATCCAAAGCATTATTCTTTCTAGTGATGGATAGCGGCTAGCAGTAGATCCAGGATGCGCATTTTGTAATATCGGGACTCATCATATGGACACGCCTGCGTCCCAGCAACTCATGTTTCCCCACCAGGACTCGAACTCAGGACCGACAGTCCAAACGCCAGGGCGTTATCCACTAGACCAACGAAGCACGACAGCCACTCCTTATGCGACCGGTATAGTTTTAGTACTATTGTTTGTGTCACACCGTCGTTGATCGGACCGAATTGGTGGGTCTCTATTGTCATATGGGCTTCTGTGTAGGATTATATATATAAGTTGAAAATATGGAGGGTTGGATTCCGACCCAGTGGCTCAATGGTAACGCGCTGGCCGCGGAACCTGAAGGTCGCGGGTTCGATCCCTGCTGGTGGGGCGTGGGTGCGCACTGCTGAGGAGTCCCATACTAGGACGGAACGGCTGTCCAGTGCTCCCAGGTTCCCTTTGTTCCTCCAACTGAGGTCAGTCTTCGATGAAAAAGGTACATCAACATCTTGTAACGAATGGAACATATGATCTTACATTATGGTTCTTATCATGAGATAAAAACTCTATTACACTACTTCAGTGTTTGAATGGGTACTCAATTGGTGTACTTCAGGATTTATTTATCACCCATCCGTAACTGAGTATCAGTGAGTATCATTTGATGCAATCTTTATAATAGCAACTATTTTCCATGTTGTATTCATCACAAATTGACATCAGTTTGAAACTTGGTACCTATGGATAAGTGCTTCTTTCCAGTTGGGGATCTCTTAATAGTAAACCAGTTGATGGGTTGTGGGGATGATTATGATACTACTTTAGACTCAATGAATACTACAAAACTTCTAGCTGAACAGGACATGGTCAAAATCACAACTTTTAAAACTAAGTATTGAAACCGTTTAGTGTAGATTGAAACGGCTGAATATAACTGAAGTGACTGAGTGAATAAATAAGAAATATGAGAATGATGCCAACTCAATAAGACACTTGGATTACATACTCAAAGTGACTGTTCTCCCTCAATACATTATATTTCACTGAACCGTGAAAATATAAGAAGACAAAGACTGACCTGTGACTGTAAGTAGTAATATCTTATTCAACAATAATGCATCATTTATATGAAGTTTTCATGAAATATAAGGCAACAAGGTCAAAAGTTAATGACTCATCTTGATTGGTTAACTGTATGATAAATTGTCCAATAACATTTTTCATGACTACATAATAACGTGAAACAAAAACCTTGAATACAAAAACATCTGCCTTAGCTGTTGATCACTTAAAATGTTGATTTTTATTTAGGCCACTTCCTATAAATAATAAACAAAATGCGCTGAACTTAAAATCTTTATACTTATCACTCATTAACAGGGTATATCTATGTAATTTCTAGGTAATTTATTACATTCTTCCCAAGGATGACAAGAACGTGGTCTTGACTGTTATCTGTCTATCGTTAGGGTTTCGGAAATTATCATATTCAGGAGCAAGAGAAGAATTATCAATAATGTCACCAAACTTGATGATGAAACATCTACGATAGAATGTTGAAGTTCAAGATGCACCAAATCATCGCTAAAATCGATGTTTGTTATCTAACTGTGTGTTTACTACTTGCATAAAGTAAATTTGTGTCTGTATGTAATACACTACTGATTGAAATTTGTAGTTCTAGACCACTTACACCGATAAGTACTGTTCCCCATCCAGATTCAGGTGACCTAAACAACGGTGAGCCATTTCTCTTATTTTGGGTCGAATTCATTAGCGATACACCTAGATTGATTCAGAACAAGAAGAACAACTGTTCAAACCAGCCCCTGAATAATAACTAGATACTTGAGAGAATTAGTTATGTCTAGAATCGAATGAAGCGTTGATTACAAAGTATGTCTCCCTTTTTGGAAAAGTAGCAAATATGGAACTTTGAATTCGAAGTTTATTTAATCTGTTAAGCAATATTTGGCACTTGATGAACTGTACAATGATAACATATCACTAGTTAGTTATGTAGTGAAAAAGCGACTCTTGAAAACGCTCTTTAATGTTAAGAAATGTAGTGAAGCTGTAATTGTCATACGAAAACCAACTTATTTAGATATAAATTACTATGCATTGATAATTCATCATGAATAACAGATTTACTTGAACATGCTTACAAACTTCTTTGTAAAGATGATTTATAGGTGCACGATTGGTCAAAGGTAATAAAATAAAGGTATAGGTTGAATATTCATACTCAGATCTGACTAATACAACCTGTGGGCAACGGTCAAGATAAATATTTGTCAGTAGCACTAGATGACGGGTTGAGGTATATAGGGAATTGACAGAAGTAGGCGAAATTAGATCAGTAGATTTTAGCCCATGGTCCCCATAATGGTTGATCGCTCGTCATGAAACCGTAAGTTCCTCGGTTCGACCTCCAGCAGGATGATGAAGTGTACTGATAAGAAATCCCACAATAAAGTGAAACAATTCTTCAGTGCTTCAAGTTTTTCAACAGTTCTCCATTTCATGTTAGTCAATGATGAATATAACATCTAAATTCCATTAATATATTAAATACTTTGTTCTAATACATTTCAGACAATGTCAACCAGTCGTTCAACTAGATCAACTACACATTCTTACCATCTAGATCCAATGGACAAAGAATCATTAGCAGCAACTAAAATTCAAGCTGGTTTTCGAGGTTATCGTACTCGTAAAGAATATGGTAATCTGGTTCATTCATTTCCAAGTCATAATTCCTCATCAATTGATGAGGTAAGAAGCAATCGAAACACACATAATTTACAACAATCTCTAACAAATTCTAATAACTTAGACAATGCAGCTACACGAATTCAAGCTAGTTATCGTGGTTATTTAACACGTAAAGCATTAAGAGATGATAATATGCCAAAGCATACATCATTGATGACAACATCACTAGGCAATAGTCCATTACATTGTGATCAGAGAAGAGGTTCTGATGGATTATTTGAACAACACAATTGTCATTTAACAGATACTGATATTGATCATAAAGTGAAAGCTGTCACAAAAATTCAAGCTGGTTATCGAGGTTATAAAACGCGTAAATCTTTAGCACCTTTACTACACCATGAGAATCGACAAAATCCTATTTTAAATAAAGAAAATGAGAATTTCTCCTCTACCTATCATACTCGATATAGATCAAAAAGTCAGGATAGAAATACAAAAGCGAAATTCACTTTTTCACATAATTCATTATATGATCCTGAATTAGCAGCGACAAAAATTCAAGCAATCTATCGTGGTTACAGAACACGACAACATTTACCGAAATGAATAATATTCACAAGAATAATGAAAGCTACTAGACACACATATACACACACACTCTGCACCATCCTAATTGGATCCTAATTTTCATTAATCTCTTGAAGAACTTTCAATATCACTCCCTCTTTCTTTCTATAAGAGAAATAATCACATTCATCATGGAATCACATTGAACAATAAGTTATTGCATACTGAATTCTATTTCATCAACTGCATTGTGCTTTTTATTTCTTTCATAATTTGTAAACTTCACTTGCATTTGTGATTCTAGTACAGAGCATTATGTACATTTTGTTTGTTTGTTTGTTTATTTCCTTGCTTATTTGCTTGCCTTTTTTGAATTTCTCTCCAAAATAACTTTTCAATAAGAAGTGGTAGTATACATTGAACATTGAACGTAACTAAACACTGCATACATTTTCACTCATCTAGTCAGTAAATGTAGTAATCACATGTAATAATTTAGTAGTTATGATTTGTTAATTTCACAATTTTTTTTTCGCTCTCTTTTTAAACGCTGACTTTATGGTTCGTTTTTTGGTTTTCTTTATCATTAAAACAACAGCTATAATGTATTATTGCTCATATTATACCGTCCTTGATTGGACCAAGTTGATCGGCCTCTACTGATCTAAGGGCTGTTTGTCAGATACCTCGACATTTTCTGTGTTCTGGTTCTAGTGGCTAGCAGTGGAATCCAGGGTGCGCATTTCCTTCCATTTGGGACTCAAACTCGGAACCGATCGCTTCAATGGCCAGAGCGTTATCCACTAGACCAGTGGTTAACGCTTCAGAGTTTGGAGCGATCGGTCCTGAGTTCGAACCTCGGCGGGTACATCTGGCTGACGGGTCCCAAATAAGACGAAATGCGCATCCTGATCCCACTGCTAGACACTGTCCATCATTACTATAACACCTATAATAATTGGAAATGATGAAGATTGTAAGCACAGTTGTAACTGAGAGAAATTACAGTTAGTCTCTTGCGTATCTTCGCTACAATAACACATAGTAGACTAAATAAGTATTTTCAACTTATCAGCCTTAAGATCATCGATGCAGTGCCTTGTTAGCCTTCTACCATCAACGAGAGACTAGTTGAAATACTGAAAAACTACCTGAGCATAACTCCTTTGAATATAATAATTATCCTCTTTCCAATATCAACCAACAACTACTGTTTATCCATATTTGAGCGCAAGAGCATATAAACTAGTTTGGTGGACTAAATAATTTACTCGTCTGTCTAAGTTCCAATAACACTAGTGTTCTTGTGGTGCAGCATTCTGAGTCACAAATTTTCTTCATATCATAAATGTTATACATAAGAATTAGTAATTAGTTCGCAAACCATCTGGCGATCACCTCGTAAGCGCTCAGCACTTTGTGGAGTATGTCGGTTAAGATTGCACTGTCTCCACTCGATTGAGTCTCACGCCACTTTTGCGTCTCTCGTTGTAGTGTTAGGGTCAGTTTGCAGGCCACTTATATTTCCTCGAAGATTGAGGCCTATTCTCCTTAGCAGCGAATAGCTCCACCACACCGACAATCTATTCGACTCAAAACCAGTCTCCTATATGACTGAATGGTGTTAAGGACTAGGCCATGCTTAGTCTGAAAAGTGTCTTCAGTCAACATAACAGTTTAGTTTCAAGACCTATGACATGCAGTTGCAACATTAAGTAACCCAATTTCACCACGGTGCGGTATACAAATCGAATGATGCTAAATGAGGTATCATAAAGCAGACGACATACCCTCTCAATTTAAACACAAATGGGTACATCTTTAACGTGCAACTGCAGTTAACTTCTTTCTAGAATTATTACGAGTTTCAAGGAAAGTAAATTTCCAGTAGTTAACTAAAGCTTTAGTGAAGTTTGATGGCGATATTGTATAACATCTGTTGGGCATTTACTACTGTTACACAAGATCACACTTTTAGGCTAACTGGTGTTGATGTCATCATCAGTACGGTGGTACACTGTATGTCTTATTACGTGGAAAAAATTGAATTCTCGGCTTGTATATACGCTGAATTCCCCTTGATATCTGCTGATACTTGTGTCAGCACTGTCTAGAAAAACGAAAAGAAATCCAACTGATAGCATGTTTTACAGTGAATCTCCCCTCCTACGTAGATTAGTTACTCTGAAGGTGTTGGACATGACTACCTGTGTGTATCTGGACAAATTACTTCATGGGAAATAACGGTTTGGCTGCAGATAATGTGTTTACACTCTTATCAGCTACTGTTCAATGTACATTTTTATGGCTATCTTAAGAGTTAGCGTCGTCGGTAAAGAGATTGTGAATAACCTTACAAAGCAATGCAGCTAGAGAACAGACGTACCCCACTATAAAGTTGGAATAGATGTATGTTGCGGTGGTGTTATTCTCGATAGAGACTAAAATCAAAATTACGATCATCTAAAAATCTAAGGCAACCTCTCCTGGTTAACTACTTCACTAGTTACGAGCCGGTCCAAGCTAGGGTAAAGAGGGAAGGTTGGGCGTAGGGCTAGCAACCCTAGCCATTAAAACCAATCCAATCGCTATAAAAACTTCTAAGCACAAAGATTCGACAGCTATATGAAGATGCCATATGCCAAGTGATCCACAATGAAAAGCTCGGCGACGCCACTGAAGTGAAGACAGGAGTAATACAAAGCTGACTACTTGCACGCATGATCTTTCTAACTGTGGTTGACTATATCATACAGAAACCATGAGCAGCGAGAAGTAGGCATACGCTGACTGCACCGATGGAAAAACACCAGAAGAAGATTTGCATTTCATCCATGGTGATTTATTTCTAGTGTCTTGTTACACAAACTCGAAGATCTACAAGCGAAAACCAACAAGTTGACAGAAGAGGCAGGCCAACAAAGACAGAACTTCATTCAGGTGAACCTAGAGAAGACAGAAGTGATGAAGATACCGAACCAACTACAACAACAACAACAACAACAACATAAGCACCAATCACCATCAACGGGAGAAATCTGAAGTGATTTGTCTCTTCCATCTACCTAGGCAACGCAGCATCGTCTCAACTACAGGTGAAGGTGGCGGCATAGATGAGGATGTCAAAACCAGGATCGGAAAAGCAACACAAGCTTTCGTTAATCTGAAATCGGTGTGGAGATCTACTACACTCAGCACAAAGAACAAGATCGGATTTTCAACACCAATGTGAAGTCACTGGTGCGATATAGTTCAGAAACTTGGCGTGTCATGAAAGCATTTTCAACAAGCTACAGATATTCATCAACAGCTGCCCCCTGTGCACACTGGATACTGAAGATCGGATGACCGGAATAATGACAATAAGCAACAAGGAACTCACTCTGGCTGGCGATGAACCAACCAAGTAGCTGTCATGCAACAAATATGCAGAAGAAAGTGGAGATAGACTGGGCATACATTGAGAAGGCCGACTGAGGACATCACGCGCTGGGCCAGCAAATCGAGTGGGATCCAAAAGGGGAAACGACGGTTGGGTGTCCCAGCTGAGGGTGACATGGAGGAGATCATGTGAGAAAGAAATGAAAGCCTATGGGCAGTCGTGGTGCCAGATTGAAAAAACTGCAGAGAACAGAGTGGAATGGAGGCATGCTAATGAAGCCCTTTATTCCACTAGGAGCCCAAGGGGAAAATAGTAACAAAAGAAATCTAAGGCAACCCATCAAGTTCAAAACTCTAATTAGGTTCAGAAGAGATAGTTCATCACAGCCCTTCAAAGTGAAGCAGTTGATTTATATGATCAAATTCAAACAACGGGGACCATGCAAAAGTGGTGATTATACCCTCAAGACAAGTTTTGAATGGTCATGAAATAATAAAAAATTATGAAGTTGCAAGGAAAACAACACAATATCAAGAAATATTCCTGCCTATATTTAATAATCTTTCTCTATTGAAGAGGGTAGTTACAACTGAAATCCTCGCAAGTGTGATATGATGACAAGGGTTTGTTGTCTTATCGATGATGAAGTTGGAATCATAGTTCCGCTTTCAAAGCACGATGAATGAAAAGTACATCGTCACATTCAGTAAGGATATACTGTCTGCTGCAAACCACATTTACCGAAGAGAATGATTGGTCGAATCAGTAGTGTACAGTTCAGATGTCCTATCTATAACACGAATAATTTTAGCTAGTAAAAAAAGTTTAGACTTTAGTTCATCGCCTTCTTTTCAACTGCTTATAGACTAATATATATATATATATATATATATATATATATATATATATATATATATATATATATATATATATTATTATTATTATTATTATTAGTCCCTTGGGTTCCTAGTGGAACATAGGGCTTCAGTAGCACGCCTCCAGTGACCTCTGTTCTCTGAGATCTTTTGAACCTGGTTCCACGACAGCCCACAACCTCTCATTTCCTCCTCGCATGACCTCCTCCATGTCACCCTCGGACGTCCAACTCGTCGCTTCCCATGGGATTCCACTCGAGGGCCTGACGCGTGATGTCCTCAGTCGGCCTTCTCAATATTAGCAGTGGTAGTAGTAGTAGTAGTAGTAGTAGTAGTAGTAGTAGTAGTAGTAGTAGTAGTAGTAGTAGTAGTTAGTAATGGTAATAATGGTAACAGGATTAGGAAAGAATTGAAAGCCTCTGCTGTGTTACCATACAAGGAAGGCACCTCAGAAGCATTACGAAGAATTCTCAATAAGGCTGGTCGGGATTAAAGTGGCTGGCATTTAAACTAACAAACTGGCTTAGAAACAAGCTTTGTAGGTTAGAAGATCCTAATGATGCAATTCACCGAAACAATCTGGTTTACCAAACCCTTGCAATGACTGCGAGATCAAATACATAGGTAAAAGTAGTCGAATAGGGTCGATTAAAATAACAGAGCACAAAACCTAGCTAAATCAAGATTAGTAGATCCTAATAAGATAAGAAATCTAGAGAAAAGTTCTGTTATGGCTCTGCATGCGATGACACACAATCACACGTTTGGGTGGGATAGTGCGA